TCTGGCCTAAATCCCTTCCTGCCGATTGCTACTGCTTGGGGGAATGAACAAGAATGGATGCTTCAGTCAAATGAATAGTGAAGAAGAACGGATGCTTCAGTACAATGAATAGGTACTGTGATCAATCCTCAACTCCCGAGCAAAAGCTGATGCTCCTTTCAACTTTAGAAGACAGGAAGATGTAATTCTTCTTTCCTAAAAGCCAGGAAGTACTACATCGATCCACAAACACTCTTCTGGAATCAACTCTGACACTTGGGGAACTAAGAAGCAGAGTGAAGAACTTTCTGTAAGTTCTCTCATTTATTAAACTGTTGTCAAAACTACGGAACAACATCCATAAGCGTCTGATGCTGACTGAAGATCACACAGACTATTAAGACTTGAGAGGTGAGGGTCAATTATAAAAGAGAGGGGCTGAAACCCCCCCCCCCCCCCCCCAGTCTGAGGTCTTGGCTCGGGATGCAGAGAGACTGTTGGGAACACAATCCAACATACTGTATTTAACAGATGAAGCGAGACAGGACTGATGCTATTTTTCATTATGTAGTTTTCATGACCTGTTCTAGAAGGTAGATGGCAGGTATGACATGCTGTGTGTGCACAAACTATTTTGATCTCTAGAATTACTTACACAAGATTCTGAGTAACTCCTCAATTCCCTATGGAATTCTGGGGGTTTAAGTAAAGATAAAGTACTAAACTGTAGGCACAAAAGGAGAGAGAGAGAAAAAAAAGGACAGCTTGACCAGGACTGAGACACAATGGAGAACGATGCTTACTCAGGGCGCTACAACAAGGATTTAAAAAGGCACCTTCGGAATGCAGCTTACTCATTGTCTACAATGTAGAAAAAGCTAAATCCTTACACTCTTGGAGCCTGACCCCCTACTGACTCAATCATGTTCTATTGAGACTACAGACCCTAACTACACAGGATCCCATGGCATTCTACACGGTTTGTTACGCTTACTGCTACTCAATCTAGTGGTAAGATGCCTACTTAGGTAATCAGAACCTTCCACGAATGGTCCTCAAGGTAAGACCTGAGGCAGAGTAGCTTTCCTTAACTATTGCAAGAGAACTCCCACTTCCTCAGTGTTTTAATAGCTAGTTACGTGTTGGGAGCCGACTCCTAGCAGAAAGCGGCTATCATCTTTGCAGCCATCTCAGGCCATATACCCTGACACTTGTTTTCAACAGCTCACAACAGCTGAGCACACTCTGATAAACATCTTGTTTTTCTCACATATCTTGTTTTGTTGTTTTATGCCCCCAGCTGCAAGGCGCAAAGGTAAAGTGTCTTCAGCTGCATTCCCCTGCATTCCCCTGCTTGTGCTTATACACACCCAGGATTTCCTTTCACTAAAGGGGACTTGAACAGACTCTCTGTCTCATCTCCATTCTTCGCGTCTCTCGCCCCTCCATCCCCACTCTCTCTCTTGCTAGACCCTGACTCTTGGACCGGAGCAGCAGCTCAGGCTGGGACAGTTATGTCCCTTGTAAATTCCTTTTAGCCAGCTATGTCTCTAACCCTCTGTTTCGCATGACAGGGGACACCTGCTGAATGCACTTCCCCCTTTACGCCTCCCTGGTCTGAAAGCAACTGATAACCAAGATTTTTGAGAAACAGTAAGAGAGTCAAAATTATGTTTGAAGAAAATTATAGGTTCAGAGAAAACAGGGAGCAACTAAAAATCATTTGGACTAGGGTCAACTTGGATACCAAGTTATATCCCCAAGAGGCTTAAAACTTCCTCTCATATCCAAGTTTCCAACCCAAGACACTTTCTTCCTTTCAGCCATCTTAAGTTGTGGGTCAGAATACTTCCTATTAGTACAGCCTCATGTTTTTATGCTTATAATCAAGTGTCTTGGTGAGCCTCATTGTATCCTTGAGGAAAGAGAAGGCTGGAAGATAAAACCCTGGGCATGGCACGACTCTACCACCATCGTGGCACCATTGTTTGATGAAAATGTCTGTCATTATTTTAGTGGTTTTTAATCCTAAAGAAAAAATTCTGTGAAACAAAAAAAGTAAAATCCTTGACAGCCAAGCCTTTGTATTTGGTTGGAAGTATAAATTCCCTCTTATTTAGAGATGACAAATTTCAACCAGTCTTCCTCAAAGAAGTGGAGCAATTGACCCTGTGGCTTTATCAGAGAATAATCCAACACTTCCAATCTTCCTGCACAGTCCAGGCATGAATCGTGCTGTTCAGTGTGGTACCTGGAGCAGCAACTGCACCTTGGGTCCCACCCAGCCCTCCTGGAATCCACATCCTTTAACTAAGCATCTATGGTTTTGAACTATGAACCCAGTACTTCTACTATTAAGCTGTACCTCTAGTTTGGGAATCTAAATCTGACCACAATCTCTCTTTGAGTGAGATGTACGTCGAAGATATAGGAACTATTCTAGGGCTAGCAAGATGGCTTAGAGGTAAGGGCACTTGCCAACCAGCCTGATGACTAATCTTCATGCTTAAGACCTACATGGTAGAAAGACAGAACTCTCGCTCTCCTGTTGTTCTCTGACCTCCACATGTGAGCTGTGGTTTGCACATGTCTACCCACATACAAACACAAAATAAAAAGATACAACTGTTCTAGACAACAGCCCAAGTTGCTCCCCTGGAGGCCTAACACTACAATGCAGTCTGGTGGAGACCTGGGCACAGATCTGAGACCTACCACTCAATAGCTACTTCTCAGAACTGCTGAGGACCAAGTGGGTCTAACAAGCTCTTGTTATCTGGGCCCAGCCTACCTCCCAGACTTTATTCTTACTTTCTCTTTGCACATTGCATTCTAGTGATGCCAACCAGATGGAGCACGGCATTTCTGCCTTAGGACCTTCTCCAACGAGACTTCCCTGCCATGTCATCTCTGCGTGTCCAGCTTGTTATTCAGCCCTCAGCTGAGTATTACCTTTACAGTGAAACCATCTTAGACTATGTGCTACTCAGTGATTGTCTGTCAACTTGACATGAAGTGTGAGTCATCTGAGAGGAGGAAACCTCATTTGAGAAGATCCCTCTATCAGCTTGCCTGTAGGCAAGTCTGTAGGGGCATGTTCTTGACCAATGTGGGAAGGCTCAGCCCACTGGGAGCAGTGCCACAAAGTAATCCTGGCTTCTATAAGCAAGCAGGCTGAGCAAGCCATGAAGACCTAGTCAGTAAGCAACACTCCTCCAAGGCCTCTACTTTACCCTGACCTCCCTAAATAGATTATGCCTAGGATGTATAAACCCTTTCCTCTCCAAGTTGCCTTTGGCCATGATTTACTGTGGCAATAGAGAGCAAACTAGAAGAGAACGGAGTGGGCTATTGCTGTGACAGATCTGGCCACACAATTGGGGAGGATAAAGGGAAGTATGGAACTATGGTTTGGAAAAGCTATTGTACACTCAAAGCCTAATGGGCTGTTCCGTGGGAACTTAGAAGCTGAGAGCTAGAGTACAGACCGTGGCAGCCTGCATTGTGAAGTTAGAGGAAAGCTTGAGAATCTTTCAAGGAATCTGTTGAGGCGGTTCATACAGAATCAGCTGTTATTAACAAGACTAGTGACGATGAGACAAAATCTGGGAGTATCTCTTAAGGATCAGCACCCAGAAGCTGTGGTACAGCAGAGTTTCATCTAACACTTGGAGCCACACTTGGTACATGTAGGAATCTTCCATGTGTACTGGCTTTGGCAACATGGAGGCTGTAGGATTTAAGGGGTCATGGAGAACAGCTGAGGCTTGGCTCTGTGACAGGCTGTATTAGTTGTCCCGGTCCTTTCTGCCCCACGTTTGGGGGCCAAGTTACCTGGTCCGTTTGGGTCAATCAACAGGGTCTAGCAAGAGAGTGAGTGGGGACGGATGGGCAAGAGACGCGAAGAATGGAGACAAGACAGTCTGTTCAAGTCCCCTTTAGTAAAAGGAAATCCTGGGTACATATAAGCACAGGCAGGGGAATGCAGCTGAAGACACTTTACCACATGCGCCTTGCAGCTGGGGGCATTAAACAACAAAACAAGATTATGTGAGAAAAACAAGATGTTTATCAGAGTGTGCTCAGCTGTTGTGGGCTGTTGAAAATAAGTCTCTTGTCAGGGTATATGGCCCGAGATGGCTGCAAAGATGATAGCCGCTTTCTGCTAGGAGTCGGCTCCCAACAATTAGTCAGGGTTCTTTAGAGTCACAGAACCTATGGAATCTCTATATATATTAAGGGAATTTACTGGAATGACTTAAGCTTGCAGTCTAACTAACCCAACAATGGGCAGCTGTGAACAGGAAGTCTAAGAATCTAGTAGTTGCTCAGTCCCACCAGGCTGTGTTTTAGGTTTTATCTTCTATATAAGCTGGCATCCTGAAGAAGTAGGTTCTAACGGATGTGCTGGCAAGTAAATGCAAGCAGGTGAAGAATGAATCCATCCCTCTTCCACTTTCCTTATGTAGGCCTCCAGCAGGAGGTATGACCCAGATTAAAGGTGTGCACCACCATACCAGGACCGAAGCTTTTCACTTGGAACTTGCTGTCCCAGGCCAGGCTTGAACTCAGGTATCTGTTTGCCTCTTGTCTCCTGGGATTAAAGGCATGTACCACCTTGCCTGGACCTAAGTTTTCCTGGCCACTATAACTCAAGATCTGGATCAAAAGTGTGTGTCATCTCATGTCAAGATCCAGATAAAAAGCCTGTCTTCCAACCTCAATATCTGGATCACAAGTGTGCCCTCCATTTCTGGGTTGTAGTTCATTCCAGATGCAGTCAAGCCGACAACCAGGAATAGCTGTCACAGAGGCCATTGGTGAAGACACAGCTTCAGTTGCAGTGGAGACCCAACACATACTGGAAATGCCAGGCTTGTGGGATGACTATCAAGGATAGCAGCAAGGGTGGACTGGAGCTGGCTTGACCCTATTCACACAAAGCACATGTGCTGTGTGTGAGTGAGAAGTAGAACTGTCTAAGCTCTTTGGAGACCAGATCATGAGTGAGACACTGCAAACAGATTTACCTTCGATTTAATTTGATTGTACCTGTTCCTGGATCTTCCCTCTTGGAATAAGAAGTATGTAAGTTAGTTTTAATTTTACAGGAACCTAATTTTTAGATGCCTTGGATATTTTAAAGAGAATGAACTTGTGTTTTAATTTTAAAAGACCCTAAGTCTTTTAAAGTTAGATGTGTTTTCTGACATTGGTATTATCTTAAACAAGAATGTAAAGGTTACAGTTTCACAGCAGTATATAGTGTGCCAAATTGAAAGGGGGTCAACTTAACACAATCTTTTGGGAAGAGGAAATCTCAATGGAGAAAATGCCCCTAAAGGCAAGTTTATACCACCTGGGTACCAACTCACACTGGCACTCTGGCACCTGAAGTCACTCCAGGGCTGGGTACATTCTTTCCCACTGAAGGCAGACAAGACAGTTCAGTTTGGTAACAAGATCCATAGCCAAACAACAAAGTCAGGGTAAGCCCCAGTTCCAGTTGTTGGAGGACCCACATGAAGACCAAACTGCACATCTGCTACATGTGTCCAGGTGGCCTAGGTCCAGGCCCTGTATGCTCTTTGGTTGATGGTCCAGCCTCTAGATGCTCCCAAGGCCCAAGGCTAGTTGACTCTTGGGTCTTCCTGTGGAGTCCCCATCGCCTCTAGGTTCCTCAGTCCTTCTCAGTTATGGTTTATTGCAGCAATACTACTCAAACCATGACAACCACAAATCTGGCCAGTCTGAGGAGTCACCCTAATTCTCTGCATACTTTTTGAGCTGTTATCTTCAATTGTGCCTAGCACAATGTGCTTAGCACAAGTGTTTAATACAGAGGAGGAAGCTACTCTGGAAAGTAGTTTACTAGAGGAATGTCAAACACTTCTGTTCAGAGACCTTCCTTGCTTTTATCTACTGGGTTCTCTTAGTAGTGATAGAAATTTCACTGGTTTACTCTCTGATCATGTTAAGTGAAAATCTACATTATCGCAAAAAGACTGGTTGGGCATGGTAGCTTACCCCTTTAAGCTTTAGGGAGGCAGAGGCAGGTGGATCTTTGAGTTTCAACACAGCCTAGTCTACATAGTAAGTTCCAGGATACTCTGTCTCAAAATAAGTTTAAAAAAAAAAAAAAAAAGAGGGAGGAGAGACTAGAACACAGGCCGTTTTCATCAGTTCCAAGGTGCTGACTCATGAGTTGTCTTCCCTTCAGGTGTCCTTGTGAAGCTGTTCACTAGATTATTTTATCCATATTCCTGGATAGTGCTGAAGTCCCAACTTAGGCCAGTTAGTAATGACGCTCTTGTCAGATCTGAATCAGGGGAAGTCAGATGGCCTGGAGGCTTGTCAGCCAAAGCTGCCGAAGACACAAGGAGAATCTACTTCATTAGACATCAAGCTAAGAACTGTCCAAAGACTCCTTCTACCACAAGCGTGACATTTAACAGTGGCTTTGTTAGTTGTGACTTTCTTCGGTTATGCATGAGACATTTGTTTTTATGTTCAATATTTGAGGTTCCGAATCATCAGGTCACACATTAACGCTGTAGAGAGGCAGACCTCAGCTGCTTGTGATCTTCTACCAGTAAGGCGAAAGGAATTCTCCTGTTACCATCAAGTCATGCCCAATCCATCTCACCATGGGCAGGGCAAAGAAGCTGCGTTGTGACCTTTCCTGAGCTCAATAAGTAGTAGAAAAATAAAAGGAACAGAGCTGACAGTTGATTTATTTGCTGAGTGTACAGAGCACTCATCTGTTGGTGCTGGTTAAGCAGGGATTTAAGAGAAGGGTGTGGCAACGAAGGGAATCCTGCATCGACTCCTCCTCATGTCCAAGTAGTCCACACACTGCTGATGAACTGCACGGAATGCCTCCATTAGACACAAAGGGAGATGGAGTTTCTAATAGTCTAAGATGCTTCCGTGTCCTCAGGCTTGCTTTGTTTTATATTAACTGAACTGCTCCAGAAGCAACAAGAGGTGCAATGGTTTTGTATCGGATCAAGTGCTGGGAGCCCTCCTCCAAGTCAATAACATAGTCTCTGAAAAAAGATGAACAGTTGTATGTATGGCGTTTAGCACATTCTCCATGGGGAAGATACACATGCTACTTACCTCTGCTCATCGGCTTCTGGTTCTACTAGTATGTTTTCTTGTCGTTCTTTCACTCTCAGAAACACGTATGAATCTAGGTCAGGTTTGGGAACTGCCAGGAAAACAAAAATGTAACCGTAAGCAGCTACCATGTTCAACCTGACAAAAGCCACCTTTTAATGCTATGGAGACTCCTGGTGTACAGAACCTACTTATCCAACAAATGACAGACTTACAATGTCTCGGGGAGTCTCCTGAGGAGCAGCTTCCTATTCTGAAAGGGTCCATCCCAAGAACCCCAGTGAATAGTACTGAATCATTTATACACACAGTTTCGTAGCACCAGCCATATAATAGAGCAATCACATTGTAACAAAGTGCATGGTTTCTATTTCTGTCCTCGACCCAGCCTCATGCTTTTGATGAGAGGATACAATGCCTCCATGAAGGGGGAGGTTAAATTACTTACAAACTGAAATAGTTTGGCCACCACTTTAACATAAGTTCTGAGGTACAGTGTCAGTTATCTGGTAAGTGACATTTTATAATGTTGGTCACAACAGTGCAGGATTAAAGAGTATTCCTTTTTTAAAAAGATTTATTTATTTATTTATTTTATGCATGACTACACTGTAGCTGTCTTCAGACACACCAGAAGAGGGCATTGATCCCATTACAGATGGTTGTGAGCTACCATGTGGTTGCTAGGAATTGAACTCAGAACCTCTGGAAGAGCAGCAAGTGCTCTTAACCCCTGAGCCATCTCTCCAGCCCAAAAGTATTCTCTGGGTATTTATTTTATGGGTATGAGTGTATGTATGAATACTGCCTGTATATTTTTATGAATAACTCCTAGCCTTGTCCACTTTGTATTTTAGAACATGGCTGACTATAGGTCCCACACTGACGGTGAAGGCAGGTGAGTGGAGCCAGTGCACATAAGGAGGATACGGATACGTCTAACGTGTCTTTCCAGATGAAGTGGTAATGAGCCGTTGGTGAAGCCTCACATTTGTGGCAAATACACTCAATGATGTGGAAGGAAGCATTAAAGAAAAGCCCAGGATTTAGAGGAGAAATGAGGCTGGGAGCCACACGAGGGCTGAGGTAGAGGACGCAGGGATATTTAGAGTCTTACATAAAGGAGAGCATGGGTTACATGGGGACAGTGTTGAATATCAAATTAGTTTCTCGATCATTAAGGCTAAGAAATGCTGCCACTCTTCCACCACCACTGGCCAGCATGTCAGAATATGTCAGAAGCTAGGCTGGGCTTCAATGTCTCCTCTGCTCCTGGAGTTCTCAAGGCAGATTCAGTAAAATTACTGATTTAAACTTCTACACAGTGGGACGGGTCTGCTTTATTCCAAGATGTCATAGGCTAAAGTGTGTTCCTTTGAAATTCATACATGCGAGCGATAACTTCTGGTATTCAGAATGAGACGATGGAGGAAGGCTTTTGAGAAGGCTATTAAGGGGTAGGCCCTCAGTCCATCTGACCAGTGCTCTGATAAGAAGATACTAAACACAGGTGGGTGTGAGTGACTTAAGAGGCTTACTTCTTCCCTTCGGCCATGCAGGACACACAAGGAACCATGAAGGGGACAAGTTCTTCTTTGACACCGAATCTTCTGGTGTCTTGATCTTAGACTTCCAGCTGCCCAAACTGTGAGCTATTCCAATATAGGACAGTGCTCCATACCACAGGACATTTGGTGTAGCACACATGTTAGGGGAAGGGATAGGGCCTCAGGGCACTGCTCTGTGTGTGTGGCCTAGGAACACAGAGCTCAGTAAACAACGTGAGATCTGCTTTGGAGAAAAGTCTGATTTGGTCTGGCAATTTTGTTTCGTTAGATTTAACTGTGACAGGCTTCGGCAGATGGACATGGGTTTCACTGACACCTCACACACACTCAACTGGCTGATCATCACAACAGAGCCATGAGCCCTTTCCCGAGGCAGAAAACCCCAGGCGCTCAGACAGCATGTGGCTGAATTAAGGGAGGAGCTGTCTGTGAGAACCACGAGTCCAATCCACTTCTCAGGCACAGAACATGGCTGAGACAGTAGTCCTCACAGCTATTCTGATTACTTCTGTTTTTAACCACAACCCTCTTCTGCTTATCTGCCTCACTATTTTCCACACTGACGAAAGGGAGCGGACTCCCAGGCATCTGAAGATGTCTGGGATGCACACCGATCCTGATCTTGATCTGGAAAAGGTAGCTTCGCTTACCTGCCCTCAAGAGGTCCACTTTCTGCAGGTTGGGAGGCATGTGCTTTAAGGCAACATTTTTAAAATGGGCCTCTGTGTGATCCATGTACCTGGAACAAAGAATTCAAACGGCTGTGGTGTGCACTAACAGGAGCCAGCAAGGTGAGTGGCTGACAAATGCAGACCCAAGCAGGGGCAGTTCTACATTTCCTGGTCACTTACTCTTTGGCAAAGACAAACTCCTCTGGAGACAGGCTGGAAGGCTCCCCCTCAGGGCGCATTTTCTCCTTTTCCAGGATGTGAGGGAAAAACTTCTCTATCTGTGAAGAGAAATAAAAATCATGAAGAGCTATCACTCAGGGGTCATATGCTTGCATTGTTTTTCTTTTGGCAGTGCTGAGGACTGATCTCAGTATCCTTCATATGCTAGTTCTCTGGCACTGAGCCATCCTAGACCCGGTGTTATTTTGTGTATTTGTCTGTGCATGTGTTCATATGTGTATATGTGTGTATGTGTGTGTGTGTGGGGGGGTGCAGCTATGCATGTGTACATGTGAACGAGCCAGAAGACAGCCTCGTACTTCATTCCTCAGGAATCATTGACCCTGATTTTTGAGACACCGTCTATATCACTGGCTTGGAACTTGCTAAATGAAGTTGCTGCTAATTTTAAGGTTGACAAGAAAGGGCTATAGAAACTGCTCAGTGGTTAAGAGCATTTATTGCTCTTGCAAAGGAACTGGGTTCAGTTTCCAGTACCCACATGATAGCTCAAAGCCATCTGTAACTTCAGTTCTACGGAATCCAATGAGATGCTTTGAGTTCCATGGGCACCACATAGACACTGTGACTAACTTACATGCCAGTGAAACACCCATACACAGCAACAACAGCAGCAACAGCAGCAATGAAACTGACAGGAAGCTAGAAGTATGGCTTTGTGGTACAGCATGTGTCTAGCATGTGCAAGGTCCAGTTCCCCAAGTACTAGGGGGTTAAAAAAATAAATCCCACTAAAAATAAGATTCTAAGAATGTAAAATTCTACCTCCAGCAAGTACCACTTACATCAAATAAGTTAGACATAAAATGTGTTAAATTTTCCTGGGCTTAGCTGACCTATAGTTTCCACTCCGTGCCCCAGAATGGACTCTCCCCATGCTATTCAACATCCCCGACTTTACTGCATCAATAGCCATCAAACCTTCAGGAGCCGACACCGCAAATAGCTGCTAAGGACATAGCGGATCCTCTCCATCTCCATCCGATGGATGCTGACCTTCAGATCCCCCTTCTTGGCTCTTCTGAGATTTTCTTCCTGTTATGAGAGAAATTTAAATCATGATGTTCAAACACTAAGCACCGGCAAAGTCAAGGACCCAAAGATTTTGCAGTTTTAAGAAAACAAATATATTAGGTATATAATTCAAAACTACCCATTTTAAAGATGACTATTTGACTAGAATCTGAGTATGGTCAGCCACACGGGCCTAGGATTCGACCCAATTGCAAAGCTGATAGAATGAAGCACACAGCAGAAATGTCTGAGAGTCCATAAACCAGTGTCACAGCACTAGTTAGGGGACCTGAGAGATAATGGCAGAGTGCTTGTTACTGCAGGCGTGAGAACCTGAGTATGTATTCCCAGATCCTCAGTAAGGCCAGGAGTGGTAGTGCGTGTCTGTAACCCCAGCACAAATGCAGTAACAAAGGAAGGCAGAGATAGGAAAAACTCTGGGAGCTCCTCGGCGAGCTAGGCTGACGTGCCCAGCACTGAGCAATCAACAGACCCTGCCTCAGTGTGGAAGAGGAGCACTGACAGCCAAAGTGGTGTTGTGACCTTCACAACCACGCACAAAGGAGCCCCAGAATCATACAAAGCTAAAGCAACAATCAATCCACTAGTGTCTGTGTTACTAGGAGACCCTGTAACACAGACACTGCATTGCTCTGAAGGTGGTAATAACCTAAGCCCAGAGCATGCTAAACTGAAGACCACAAACTTAACTGTCAGCAAGGGTCAGGCAGGCTAAGGATGTAAGAAAGCAGAGTTGCCAGGGAAACAGGACAGCATAGTGAATGGGATGATACTTCGCTGCTCTGGCAAATCCACTCATGTAAAGATAAGAGTCAGTGTCAGGCCAGACTGTTCTCAGTAAACTGGCATGCTGGTACTTATAGGAACTCTTGGGCTGGAAAGACGGCTCGGCAGTTGAGAGCACTCCTGCCTTTGCAGAGGACCCAGGTTTGGTGCCTAGTACCCACAGAGATGCTAATGACCACCTGTTACCTGAGTGGCAGGGAATTTGATGCCGCCTTCTGGGCTTTGCGGGTACCAGGCATGCATGTAGCACAGAAACATCCATGCTGGCAAAACATTCATACACATAAAATAATAATTAAGTCAAAATGTGACAGAAACTCTTGTAGTTTATAAACACAGACGCAGTGGCCAATCTTGGTTGTCACCTTGTCCACATCTGGAATCAACTGAGACCCAAGCAGCTGGGCACCCCTGTGAGGGGTTTTATTGATCAGATCATTTGAGGTGGGAAGACTGACCGTTAAATCTGGGCCACACCTTCTGTGGGCAGCCTACATAAAAGGACACAGGGAAAGGAGGCTCTTGGATTTTTGCCTGTTTGCCCTCACACTCAATGGCAAGTTCATCTACTCTGCTCTTGAGGCATTACTTCCCTAGTAGTAGAACACACTTCTTTGGGATTCCAACACATACTAAAGATGAGCTGAGACATCTAACCTACTGGACTGAACCACCTGCTATCAGATTCTTGGTCTTTCTACTGGGAGTCAGGTACTGTTGGCCTAGCCAGAGCATAAGCTGCAAGCCACTGTAATAGTCATAGGTTTCAGTCTCAGCTGTTCCTACAGAGAACCATGACTAATACAGATGCTAGCTATCTTTTAAACTGTTGGGCTGAGCCAAACAAAACGACTTGGTATCAGACCACACTTCACCTTGCTGATCACACAGTTTTAGCTTTCTCTTCCGCTAGAGTCCAGAGACAAGTAACTCTTACCATGTGCTCTAGCTGTTCCATGACACATTCAACAATCTCAGCCTTGCTTTCCAGGAGCTCAGGGGCAAACTTTTCGTTCATCCAGGCCTAGAAAACAACACGGGCAAAATGAGTGATGCCCAAAATGGAGCAGACACACTAAGACAGTTCCCAGGCCCATGAAAGTTACACGTATCTCACGAAGGAGACCATCTGCTGGGAGAACGCTCAGAAGATGACTCATGCTGTGCGGCACCCTTTCCATCTCTTCTTTTAGGAAGGGGCTTTTATTCAACTGAAGAAGGACATTTAAGTTACTTTACTTCTTTCATCACTATGGTAAGTTCTGAGTAATGCCACGTGATAGTCTACCCTTACCTGTCACCTAAGAGCATCAGCTAGGAGACCCTTCTACTTCCCTACGGATCCTGGCACCATCTATTTTCTTCCTTCTCTCCTTTCTCCTTTTTCGAGACAGCTCACTGTATAGTCTGGCTGGCCTCAATCCCACTGGCCTGCCTCTGCCTTCTGAGTGCTGACGTTAAAGACACATGCCACCACACCTGACTTAGACTTACTCTTTCTAAATAATTTCTTTTGCTGTTGCTACTGTATCTACTAAATGTGTATGTGTGTGAGAGAGAGAGACACAGCACACATGGGAAGGTCAGAGGACATGTAGGCCCTGTTGATCAAACTCAGGTTGTCAGGCTCGGAGGTGTCTTTACCCACTGAGCCATCTTGCCTGCCTAGTATATTTATCTTTCACTTATAAGAATCTCAGTTCTAGCTTAGTTCAGATTTAGATGACAATTAAGCCCAACCTTTCCCTGATTTGCTTGAGTCTCTGCTTGCCCAAGTATAATCATCATGACGCAGTAAATACTGTTTTGATGTAACTATTAAGTTTTATTTCAAACTTCTCTAACAGTGATACAAGTATATAAAGAATTTTTTATGGTTTTGGGGATGAACTCAGGGCTTAGCGCATAGCAGGCCAGTTCCCTACATCTGAGCTTTCCTCCCAGCCTCCAATCAGGATTTAAACATGCTCACCATTGTTATCACCTGAATCTCCTTCTGTAAAATCTGCGCACTGGCTGGTTCTGACTCTAACAAAATGGTTGCCTAGCATGAGCAAGTTCCTTGGTTCAATCCCCAGAACCACAAAGACAAGAATTCACATGCTGTCATCCTAACTCCAATTGTGACAGTTGGGAGATGGAGTTTTGAAGAAGTGAAGGTGCTAAAACAAGCTCACGAGGATGGGACCTAATCCAGTGCCTGGCGTCCTTTTCAGAAAACAAAATGTTATCACAGATGTAGCCAAGAGAAGACCAAGTGAGGACACCAGAGACAGCCACCAAGGAGAAATGCCCCAGAAGGAACCAGACAGCCAGTACACTGACCTCGGCCTCTTACACACAGAGGAACTCCCTTGACAAGCCACTCAATCTGTTTGTTTATACAGTCCCACCAAACAAACACAATCACTGAAATGAGAAACTCTCACTGTAGGAAATACCTAATGAATCTTTTATTCTTTTTAAAGTTTAATTAAAGTACAGCTACATCATCCCCTCTTCCTCCCCCCCCCACCATATCCCGACTCCCTTTCAAATTAATGGCCTCCTTTTAACTACTGTTATACATATGTGAATAAATATATAAACACAACCTGCTAGATTCATTCAGTGTTGCTTGTATGTATATTTTTAGGGCTGACCATTTGGCATTGGATAACCATTCAGGGATCTCATCCCTGAGGAAGGTTAATTTTCCTTCTCTCAGCTGTAGTTAATTGTCTGCTGCTCATTTAGGGATGGGGCCTTGTGAGATTTCCCCGGCCAATTGGGGTGTCAGCTGGCGTCCTCATTCACTGCCCGGGTCCTGTTTAAGCAGCCATGTCACCGAGCTTTCATAGGCACAGCTTCCCTGACATATTTAGAAGAAAATCCTGTGGCAGGTGTGCCAGTCCTCTGGCTCTTTCTGCTCTCTTCTTTGGTGTTCCCTAAGCCTTAGCTGTAGGGGCTGTGTTGTAGATGTATCCATTGGAGCTGGGTACCCATGGTCAGCTGTCCTCTAAACAACACTCAATTATGCCATAAATGACCCGGAACATATAGGGCAATGCAGTGCATACTTTTACTGTCAGCACACAGATGGCAGAGGCAGATGATCTCTGAGAGTTCAAGGCTGGCCAGTGACGAATGGTGAGACCCTATCTCAAAAACTAAAAAAACAAACAAACAAACAAACAAACAAACAAAAAACAAAACAAAAACCCAGCATGTTCAGAATTCCTAAACTACCAGAGGTTCAAGAGAAGATATCATTAAAGAAGAAGAAAATTAAGTTGCTACAAAGCAAGAAATAATCATTACTAAAATGGATGCTGGCATTTTCTCGTTAGAGCAGACATTTTCCAGTGTGTGTGTGTGTGTGTGTGTGTGTGTGTGTACGGAGTAGGAGACTACAATAGAGAAATGCATGCTTCCATCACACACCCTTGTCTGAAAATACCACAGCAGAGCCTGGCTGTGTGAAACATTCTACTACACAGGACCAAAGCTGTCTTTTACTACTCATTCTTGAAGACTGACAAGCCTCCTAGGAATGCCCTGCTCTCTGGGTTCCTACTTTTTTATGCAGATGCTACAAAAATGCTCTTTAGAAACAAAAATTTCAGTTTCCTTATTTTTCTGAGCCCTGGTATTGCACACCTAGAGTAAGTTAAGAGCTAAGAACGGGACATAGGGGTTCTATTTGGAATGCTTACCTGCTCCAGCCTTTCAATCAGCTCTGCAGGAGTCAGGACCACCTCCTCACTACCCCCATCAGAGTCCTGTCCATGGAGATCCAGCACCTCTGTCATCGTTTCTCAACCAGGAACCTACACCTGGAAATAAACCAACACCCTCAAAAGTTTTTCCCACTTACTTGCAAGAAAAGGCTTTTAGGGGAAAAGTTCGTTGGGACTGAAGGAGGCGCACTGGCCAGGGCTGAAGAAATCAAAGACTGACTTTCAGTGTTGGGCTTAGTCTCTCAAGATTTAGGTCAGCTGTAGGCTTCTCTCCTAATCCTTCCCACTGCATGAGTCTGGAACTGAGCATATACCATACTAAACCGTAAGTGTTCCTTTTCGTCCCCAGTAGCACCTTTTTGCCTTAGATTCAAATGTGGAGCGTGCAGCGTGTTCAGTGCTTGGCACATCCAGTCGGCGGCTATAACAGACCCAGGTCGCCCGGGCACCCCAACGCTCACCTCGCAGTAGGCACCTCGCAAGCGGCTACACGGCGCGGAAATTCCTCTTCCCTTCACTGCCAGCCCGCACGTTCGCGGGGTACCACGGGAGGAGGCTCCACGAGAGGCAGGCGCCGGAGCTCGCGCCGAAGGACCTGAGAACGCGCCCCACCGACCCGACCTGCGGCCGTGAAGCTCCCGCGCTCCTTTCCGAAACACAGCGTCGACCGGAAAACATCCCCGCGCTGGGGAAGCGCTAACCAATCAGGCACAGGGGAAAGCGGACACACTCCCTTAGCCCCACCCACCCCGGGCGGGCTCTTGTCGAGCGTACTTCCGGAAGGCGGGGACGGAGGCTGGGAGGGCAGTGCCGGGTGGCACTGGCCCGGAACTGCCACGTGGGGGCGCTCACCTCACAGCAAGAAAACCAGGCAGTGCCGTCTTGTGGCGGATCGGTACAGGCCCTGTTCTTTCCCTCCTTTAACATTTACCATGGGTTTGGTTCCATTGCCAAGCCTGTTTGTCCTATTAGTTCACAGATTCATAAATGTATGCCGAAACTACATGTAAGAGACTCGCTCCATTGTCCTTCCTTTACATTCTTTTGTGCAGAAATGCTCTCTAATCTTTTTTGAGTTGTTCCATTTTGGTGATGAAAGAATGCCTATTGTCCATCTAGGATTCTACCTTTTTAGTGTGTGAGAAAGCAATATACGCATGTGGTACATGCTCACCAGTATGAGGCAGTGAGGAACATGGGCCTATCCGTAGAGACTAGAGGATGCTCTATCGTTCTCTGCCTTAGTCCCTTGAGATAGGGTCTTTCACTGAACTTGGAGCTATGCTGGCATCCAGGAAGCCCCAGTGATCTGTCTCTGCTCCCCACGTGACTGGGGTTATAAATGCATATAGCCATATCCAGCTTTTTTTTTTAATGTGGATGCTAGGGAATTGAACTCAGGTCACGATTGCATAGCAAGTACTGTTACCCACTGAGCCTCTTACGTTTATTTTTATAGATATATCTACTTATTTTCATGTATGTATGTGTGTGTGTATGTATGTATATATGTATGTGTGTGTGTTTGCACATGATTTCGGGGACCAGCTGAGCCAGAAGAATGCACTGGATCTTGATGGAGCTGTAGTTACACGTGGCTGAGCTGTTCCGTGTGGGTGTGGACAACCAAACTCCAGTCCTCTGGTTTAGAGCAAGTGCTTTTATCCAATGAGCTCTCTCTCTAGCCCCTAGCCTCCTCCATTCCTTAAGTGCCGAACTTCCTAATTAGCTTCTGAGATGGAATCAGATTGCAAATTTTATAGTTTTATAGTTGTTTTATCCTGACGTATTACTACTTGAAATAGTAATAAATAACAAGGCTAATAGAAAGTTGTGGACATTTAAATCTATGGCAGCTGGAAGACTCTTGGCATTATACCTATATTTTTTTCATTAAGATAATTTGTATAGTCTTGGGGGGTGCAGTGTGGTGGTACAGTACAGTCTTAGCATGTATCCTGGGTCCAGTCTCCAATAACTAAGTAAAACAAAATCTCTTTCTACTGTTTATCACTGATTTTAAAAAACGATTATTTATTTTTATTTGATCCAGGGTTTAATCATGTAACTGTGGCTGACCTGAAAGTTGCTATGGAGAGCAGGTTGGCCTCAAACTCATAATGTTCCACTCACCTCTGCCTTATACCTTGTGGTATAAACATTTTAATATTCATCCCCTATTTTTTGAAATAGGATGACTATATTGTTGTCCACATATCATTAGATTGGTAGTTTACTATCAAATTAGCATGGAACAGATAAATTCCATCTGTAGAGTAGCCCAGAGTGATAAGAAATTACTGTATTTATCTTTAGTTATGAAAATATCATTTTAGCTTAAAATAGTGAAGCTGGTTATGAAGTTATTATGGTTTCTAAAACAATACCCAGAAGCCTTGGCTATTGGGTATATTGCCATCAATTCTGTAGGCAGCTGCCATTCTTGAAACTGCTTAAGTATAAGCTTCTGGTGTGACCTGTGGAGTTTTGTGAATGCTGAAATCGCCCTGGGTTTTTGTGAGGGGGATTTGTCTTTGACTTTTACAGGAAGTGAGTACTTCAGCTTTGCCTTCAACACCGGGCTCTTCTTTAATCTCACTTAGTTGTAAGCCAGGAAAGTTACTTTCCCACACTCTTCCTTTCCTTTCTTTTCCTCTCTCTCTTTGTCTTTAACATTTCTAGGGGTGGTGATCACCATGGACATGGCAATCTACACAGACATATGCAAGGTGGTTTGCTGTACAGCCTCCACAACCACCTTAGTTTAATTATGTTGTCCTGGATGGCCTCGAACTCACAGAGATGCACTGCTTCTACTGGAATTAGCCACCAAACCCAACATACAAGTTGTTTCTTGGGAGCATTACCTAGACATTTTCAAACGTATAAGAAATAAAAAAGCCACATATTACAAGCACAGGGAGTAGCCTGTAGCTCAGTGAGCCTGTCTGACACACCGGAGACTCGGGTGTGATGCCTTCCACTAGTGTTGGTTTTCAAATATGGTTCTTCAAACTTTCGTGAAAGCAGGAACTGGAGTATGTGAAACCGGGTGAGCTGCACATGCTAATCCCTCCCTGGAATGAGGTTGCACATTTGCAGTCAGAGTGCCCCTTTAGGTAAGTTCCTTGGCATTGGGTGGATCCAGATGAGTAGTTACCAAGACATTTTGTATATCAATTTTGCTCACTTCCTGAAATGAGGTTAGAGAACACACACATGGTCAAGAACCAACCATAGGCTATCAGTCAATAAACCATTTCACAGGGCCCCTCTTTGTGCCTTTTCTTAAAAACACAAAGCCAACTCTAAGTGACAGCCCTTGAATGTCTCACTCTGTAGCAGTCTGCCCTTAAACTGGACCCTTCCTCTGTCCTATCACAGGCGTGCCTAGCTACACCCAATTTCAGAAAATTCTCCCCCCTACCCCCCGACAGGGTTTCTCTGTATAGCCCTGGCTGTCCTGGTTAAAGGCGTGCGCCACCACTATCCGGCCAGAAAATTCTTTAAAAACACAGTGACTTATGAGCCTGAAGATTTTATTATTTTTCTGTGTTGAGCCTTTCTTGCTAAGAGCTCTACTAGAGTCACACCCCAGAGAGAATCCGGAGGTTCAGGAGCTCACTCTCACGTCAGAGGTAACAACACAAAGCCAAGTAGATTGCTAGAATCACATCACTTAGTAATTAAAACCAAACCAAACCAAAGCAAACCCTGGACATAGTAGTTTGTGCCTGTACGCTGGTCCTAGCTAAGGCACAAGGACCACTTGAGTCCAGTTCAGCCATGAAGTTCAGAGCATTTTTGCAGGGGGTGGGAGACTGAACCTAGGATCTCACGTATGGCAGGCAAGCACTAAGCTATACTCCCCGTCCCCTACAGGCCGCCTTGGTCATTGGCAGACTTCAAAGGTTTCAGCTGAGGAACCTGAGGTAGAGATGGAACCTAGCACAGGCTAGCCATAATCCTTACATGCACAACCGAAACCTATCCCACCATTTGTTTATTGGGCATGGGTGGGGATGGTCAGAGCACTGCCTGCTGGGACTTAGCTGTCTTCTACATGTGAGTCCTGGAGATCAAGTTCAGGTTCTCAGGCAAATGCCTTTACTCTGAACCATCCTGTCAGGCCCATGAAACTCCACCTTGAGTATCCCAAGAGCTGGGCAGTCCAGAACCTCATCTTGGCTAAGAGAAAACACCGTGTGGATTGGGTATTTTTTACCTTTACATTTCTTTCTTCTTCCTCCTCCTCCACCTTTTTGGTTTTTCAAGTCAGAGTTTCTGTGTAGCCCTCACTGTCCTAGAACTCACTCTGTAGGCCAGGCTGACCTCAAATTCAGAAATCCCCCTGCCACTGCCTCCCTAGTACGCCACCACCATGCAGCTACTCTTACATTTCTTCTAAGTTTTGACCATTGGAGAGTGGATAACTACACGTAGGACTATTTCAAGAGAAAGATGCTTGAAAATCTCCTGTGAGAAATAAGCTCACAGTAAAATGTCAGAATATACTGCATTATATATATATGTGTGTGTGTGTGTGTGTGTGTATGTGTGTATGTATGTACGTGTAGGGGTTAAATGACAGCTTGTGGGAGTTGGTTGTCTTCTTCCATCAAGTGGGTCAGGTGTGGTGGCGAGCATGCTTATCTGCTGAGCCAACCCCCAGTCCCATTCTGTATTCTTCATATATCTACCTTATTATTCAAAAGTCATTGGATGATCCAAGATATAGTAGTAATTCTGAAAACTCTTTACTAATGAAAAATGTCTATTCATTTTAAGGGTGGGTAAGATGGCTAGCAGGTAAAGTCTCCTGCCACCAAACTTGATGATTTATGTTCGATCCCTGGTGTCCTCATGGTGGCAGGAGAGAACTGACTCTGACCTCCACATGCATGCCATGGCATGTGCACACCAACATACAACACATACTTACACACACATTCTAAATAAAAAAATAAAAATACTTAGATATAATTTATCAGTTATTCCAATATTGTTTTCCAAATAAAATGCCAGACCATTTCGTCTATCAAATCACATCAACCAAGACACAGAGAGGGTTTATTTAAGAAAAGTTTTACTAATGTGGTAATAATTCGGCAACATTATTGCAACAAGTTTAAAAGGCAGACAGACTAGTATAGGCTTTAAAGGAACAAATGAGGGTTATACAATTAAATTATTACACAGATCTAAGGGGTTTACTGAATAACTACAAGGCCCAGAAAACAAATTAAATCTGAAAGATTAAATCCAGTATTAGCACCTACAATATCTCTAAGTTCAACTTGTAACTGCTTCGTTCATTCCTTATGTTTCTTAACTTCTCCCAAACACAGTGCTCTCAAACTCCTAAAAGAAAGGACGTAAGAAATTCCAATACTACGAGAGAATAGAGATAAAGAAGAGCTGGAAAAATGAACTTGAACTTGCAAGTTACACGGAAGCCAAAACTTACTTGAGTCAATCAAAAGATTTCTGTGCCCTGAATACTGTATGTGAGGAGGCTGTGAATCAGTTTATAAGTAGGTTACAAATTAGCAACATACAGTATTATTTCTACCAGTTTTTTTCTCCTAAGTTATATTTGTAACAAAACTAGAGTTAGGTGTTTCGGACACTTGCTTATTACACACTGGGGCAGAGCTTGGGCAGGCGCATCTGATGGCTGAGTATTACACACTGGGGTGGAGCTGGGGCAGGTGTG